CCATGGTCCTCCAGAAGTCAGTGCCCAGGATTAATACATGGGACAACTCAGGGACAACTATGGCCTCTATCAATTTTACACACCCTTTCACCGATACAGGGAGCTCAACCACACCTATACTGGCACAGCGATTACCATTGGCCACCGAACAAACCGTGGTCTTGCTTCGATCTAGAGGCAACCCCAACTCACGCACTACATCCATCCCTCTACCACCAAGTATCGTGCGGGACGCACCAGAGTCCAACAACCCTAATATCTGCTTTCCTAGTATGTCCACTTTCAAATAAGGTCGTTCGTCCCCGGCTGCCTGATCCAGTACATAATCTAATATAACTTGAAGTTTTTCAATCGAGTCACCACCTCCGGCACACCTACCTCGATTCCTTAGGAGCGCCGGTTGCCGTTTCCCTGCCTGGAACAATCTGGACAGCTCCTAACCGTGACCCCCTCCCTCTTGCAACGATAACAGAACATACCACTGCGAACCGTACAACCAATTGCCCTATGTCCTGGCTTGTTACACCTGAAACATATTATGTCATTTGCCGGAGCCTCCTGCTGCCCACCTACTTGACTGGAAGCGACAGGAACACAATCACGAGAATTATCAACAAAAGCCTCGGCAACGTCTACATATGCTAGATCAGGTTCCAGAGTGCAAGTTCTTCTTGAGGGAGCTACGAAATTCTCCACCGACTCCTTCCTGGCTTCAAGGCGCCTACACAACTCACGTAACTGAGAAATCGATGTGATGTCGACCAGACCTAATTGGTTTTGATAGAAAGGGGCAATATTTTTCAGCAAAATCTTGAGTTTCATAGCCTCCGTCAGAGGGCATGTCAACCTATTGAAATAGCCAGTCATGACCGCAATATATATGCCAATGGACTCATCGGCCCCCTGAGTGCGCTTACGTAGTTCATCAAACAATTTTTCATTATAATCTGATGATAAGTACTCTTCCCTTAATAAGTTCACAAATTCATCCCAATTAGCTACTTCATCACGATAGGCAAGATAGAATTGGTAGGCCCTACCACTAAAAAGATCTATACCAGATTCAAGCAAGGTTTGTTTAGTAACGTGCCTAGCAATTCTGAGCTCCTCGATCCGCTCCAAAAATGCGCTAAGTGAAAGTCCCTTCTTGTCTCCTGAGAACTTACAGTCCCATTTGATGGGCAACACCGGTTTAACCTGGCTTGTGCTAGCCCGAGTAGGAGATGGCGCAGCACTAGAGGACCTACGTGCTGGAGGAATAGAACTGCCAAAATTACTCTGCCCCAAAATACTAACTTGAGGTGGAATGTCTATTTTGGCAAAATCATCAGCTTTCCTTTGCAAGTCACTAAGGAAAGCTAGAGCTTTTGCCAGGAAGTGTGGGCGCTTATCCGACTTATCCTCATCAAGATGCTCAATGCGATTTAAAACATGGGTTAGTTTAGTTTGGAGCTTAGCAAATTGAGTACTAGTGGCCAAATCGTTAAATGCCTTAATGAGTGGGTCTAATTCTAATAATTTACTCTCAATGGCGAGTTCATCCTCCTCTACGGTGAAGGGATATTTGGGGTATTTAATACTATCTCCGGATTTCTCAAGTCTCATGGCCATGGTCAAAGAGTGTCGCATCTCCTCTACTGTACCAAGGGCAATCCCTCTTATCTTGAGTTCATAAGAGAGTTCCTCTGAATTCAATCTATTAATCTTCATTCCTAGAGACATGATGAACTCTTTTCAACCAAGTTAAACAAATACAGTTACCAGGTGACAAGAAAAAAAATAATCTAAGCAAAAAAAAAATTTTTTTTTTTCACCACTACAAATGAACTGTCTTGACCAATATTTTGACACTAGTTAGGAAAACAAGGCCCCACGTTGGGCGCCAAAAATGTAACCTTGAAATTAACCCGAGGGTCCAAGGTCTTCGGCTAGCGTTTCAGTGGAGATGGGAGGGTTCGATAAATGGGCGCCAGGTAATTCAATTACCTCCACTAACACCCAATGTGCACGTCACAGACTACCACAAATTACCAAGTGGTAGTCTATCAAATCTAAGGTGGTATGGGCCAACAAATGAAAATAAATGCAAGACAGTTCCTTAAGAATTCCCCATTTAATGAAACTCACAAGTAAAAAACCCTATACAGAGGGGATGCGGTCACCCTTATGACCTTCAACCAAAATAAACAAACAATGGCTAAGTTAGTTTGAAGTTACTGAACCATTCCGCGAAGCGTTCAGGAGAAAAGAATAATTCAAGTAGGGTGCGGGGTAAATGCGTCGCTTGAGCTCAGGCGCATGCGCAGATATTCATAAACCCTAATGGTAGCTTATCGTTTCGCAGAACAGGTACAAGTCATTTAAATATCATAAACATAATAATCAAATATCCCGGTTGAGCAAATTCATAAGGGAGAGGTCATTAGAATGGGGAGAGCACAAATAAATTCAACAACACTTCAACATAAAGTCAACATCACCAAAAATCCCTCGGCGACTGCAGAATCAGGACCACCCTGTATAGCCCTAGTCCGGGCCACCCTGTATAGGCTCTAACTGGTTCACCCTGTATAGAGTCCACGTGATCCACCTGGTAGGGGCTTCACATGGGACACCTTATGTAGACTACGATTGGGCCACCCTGTATATAGTCCTCACCGAGTACTTGGGGTTGACGAACCCGAGGAAATCTTGGTCCCAGAACCAAACCCGCAACTAAAACCCCTTAAAATCGGGGTTTCTTTTTATCAGGCACCAGAGTTTTTCCAGGTTTTCCAAAGTGACCAACCTAGCCTCTAGACAGTGTCCAATCTAGCTTCTAGAGTTTCAGACAGTCCTATTTGACGGATGATCGGAAATCTAGCCAGTCCCTAAGGCGCTGCAATCAGGACTTCTCCATCTCGTCAATTACTTCACGATGTCCAGTGAGGTTATGGAATGTTGCGGCGACAATATATCCTCACAAGAGAAAGATTTGGGTCATCGATCAAAAATTTCAACACACGTTGAATCACACAAATTATCACTACCCAAATCACTAAATGGCGGCCTCAGAACATAATCCTAATTAAAGATGATTATGAAAATCAAATATAATTCTGAAGACGCCAGTCAAACGCAATCAAGCCACTTTTCAGAGAGCGAGAGAGAGAGCTAGCGAGAGACAGAACACCCACTTAAAGTCATCCACTGGTCATCGATTCAAAATTACCTGGGACGATCCCTTTAGGGACAGAATGCAAGGAGAGAGGGCGCAGCAGATAAAGGTATGTCCACGCCTGCACGAATCAATTTCACAGTATCAGCAGAGTACTGTTGGAAGCATTTCTGAATGCATAAAAAGATTGTACAGCCTCATTTGATAAATGCGACTGAATGACCCAAATAAATATTTCAATTACTGTCGTGTAACGTGCCTTCAATTTGATGAACTTCCATCAATGGTGGGACCAGAAATAAAGAAATTATATATGTCAACAAAACCCTTATCTCCAGTATATTTTGGTCGCCTGAGTATTAACGTCGAATTCTGTTGGGAATTTCATATTTTGCGATTCGCATAAATTTCGCGGAACCCGCACAAGCACGAACACACCTTAATCCGCGTCATTTCTGTGTCATACCGCACCTTACCCTACCCCACAATTTCTACACTTCGTGCAAGAGGTACTGTTCCCTGACTGACAGCACGAGGGCGCGCGAGAACGCACGAGAACCGATGATCACCTAAAGGAAGAACAGCTCCGAGACCGCTTCCAGCTAACTTTACTTGAGTAATATAACCCGAAAATTCCAAACAACGTAAACAATAATACAGTGCCCACGGCCCCACTTTTATACCAACAATTCAATCAGTGCAGGACGTAGCGATCGTTCATTAGATCTTTATCACAATAGAAGTCAGATGGACTGAAAGGTATGCTAAACATTGTCTCGCTGCTCCCAGTGGATATTGAATCGGCCAACTGATTACTAAGTTGCTAAGAAATCAAATGATGTATCTTCCCAGTGAATATCCAGGTAATTGATGGAGGTAGGTTACTTATCGATGTGTTTAATTGAGGATATATACCTAACGTAGAAAATGAACGTTACAAGATGTTGCAGTTGAAAGTATAAATTCATTCTTATGATCCCCCTGTATAAGCTTCCATGATGGCAAAATTCAGTCTAATTTAGGACTGGCAAAGTTTCAGAATTTCAGCATGGATATTTACGTAACCAGTTAGAAAACGCAACATTTTGTGTGACAATGAAATTTCAACACAGAGATTATCACTTATATACAGGATGTTATTCAACTATGTGTCCAAACTTCAAGGGGCGATTATTTGGGCGATTCTGAGACGAAAAGATCATATAAACTTAGATCCTGAAATGCCTCGTATCGATTGTTGTTTTTCATGATTACCCTATATTGGCCTATATGAACTTTCATGAGGGCATAATTTAGTATAGTTATGGTGACTGAGAAAGTCTAAAAATTTCAGAATGATATTCATGGAGGTTATTGGGTAATCCCAATGGGTGTTTTGAGGGCACCTATACATTGAAATTTTGAATCACATCAATTTTTCATGATTTTCTAAGAAACCAAGTGATATATAAAAATTTGATAAGGAAAAAATAGAGTTGTATTTCCGATTGTTCAATCTGATGAAAATATCGAACTTGAAATAACGTAGATATCATGAATATCGAAAAGGTAATCCACTGCTACGCCACTGGAATCAGTTATTCAAATCTATTTGCATCAGAATAAAACTTCTTGAAATTGTTAACAAAATCACCAAGTTTCATCGAAATTGGGAAATACAATTTCTCGTCTTAGAATCACCCGAATAATCACCCCTTGAAGTTTGACCACATTTTTAAATAACAACCTATATAATATGCTGGTATGAGTAGAATGTATTGAGATTCACACCATTCTCACCTGTAAAATATGTCTTCATCCGAGTTTTGAACGGGAATGTTTGCTACAGGTTCGTTTTCAATATCTATATTTTCTTCGTCCTCTTCGTCTTCATCGTTATCTTCATCGCTGTTGAATTTCTGATTGTAAGCACCTATGAAAAAAAGTATATCGAAAATTTTTTCAGTTGTTCGATGAGTTGAATTTTCATATTCATCATTATTAGAGTAGAGTAGAGTTGAGTTTTCCTGACTACTTGATGTACATTCATACATTTGTAGTTAGTTCCAAATGATTCCATTTTGGTGAAAAGAATATGAAAAATAATAATTCACAATAAGAGACAAAAAATATACAATCAGAAACAAAACAAAATACAGATTTAATTTTCCCCCAAGAGTGGATGTTCGGCAAGTGTGTTCCTTGTATCAAAATGGTGGCAACTAACGTGAGCCAGATATTCTGCAATCGAGTAAAAGCAATTTTTTTCAAAATAATCTTCCATAACTCTTCCATAACGTATTCATAGTTTCAAAACTGGCAGGGAGAGCATTATATAATCTGAGATCATGAGAATTCTTTTGTGATTTGCTGAGTTTGTAAAGTTGAGGTCTAATAAGATCACTGTTGCGTGTATAGTGATTATGTAAGCTGGATTGCTTAGGAAGCAGGGGAGCTTTTTTGTGAATCTCTACTATACTGGTATAAATATACATTGAAGGTACTGACATTATTCTGTGATTTATGAATGAATCACGACACGAATCTCTGTAACCAATTCCAACAAGAATTCTCAGAGCCTTTTTTTGTAATATGAAAATACATTGGGCATCACTAGAATTTCCCCATAGTAGATCCCATAAGAAATGTGAGATTGAATTAGTGAGCAAAAAACTATTTTCAATGTAGTGAAATCACTTATAGGTTTTAGTTGTCGAAGTAAAAATAGAGCACTCGATAATTTACTTTCCAAACCTAAAATGTGGCTTGACCAATTTAACCTATTATCCAAGGTGAAACCCAATAACTTAACAGTTTGGAACTCAGGTAATGGCTGAGCCGTGAATATCACCATGTTTTGTGATTTATCGTTATTCATCATGAGATTATTAACACTAAACCAATACTTGGCTTTTCCTTGTAGTTCGACGGAATGATCAGCGAGAGATGAAAATTTTTTTGGGAATAAATGAGGGATGTATAGTCAGCAAATAATACACTGTGACATGGTTTCATATAGTTGTAGAGATTATTAATATAAATCACAAACAACAGCAGACCCAATTCCGATTCCTGAGGCACACCCAAGTTAATTGGTTTCAGCTCAGAAAATTCATTGTTATAAAAAACTGCCTGGAAACGATCATTTGAGTATGTTCTTATTAGTTCTAAAGTAGTTCTATCATCTGAGAAAGTACAGGGTGCGCCTCTTTTAAAATGGAACCTCCCCTTAACTCTTTTGTTTTTAGAGATGTGAAAAAATGTTGAATCAAAAAGTTGATGAAACTCTGATTTTTTCAATGGAACCCCCTATATAGTTTCTGACATGTCGATGTAGCCTTCTTTTTCAATTTCGAAAATATTTAAATGAGTTGTATATTTAGATGAAAAATAATTGAGTTATTTATTATCAAAATTTTCCCAAAATACCGAATCTTCCATTGAAATTGTCTATTCATATTTTTTTGTATTGAGATTGAACGATTTCATTTTCATAATGAGCAATACTATGACATTTCCATGGAGCTTGAACAACATATAAACGTTATTTCAAGGCACACTATATTCAACTATATTTTGGTAAATTTGTATAATCAATAACTCAACTACTTTTCATCCAGATATGCAACTTATATATATCGAGATCAGAAAAAGAGGCTCTATCGACATGTCGTGAATTATATTGGGTGTTCCATAGAAAAAATCAAAGGTGATATCCTTTCTGGAAAAACAAATGACCCTGTATAGGAAACAACTTCACGAAATAAAAGTTTGGGTCGTTACAGACAACTTTTTCATTCAACATTTCTTCAAATGTCTGAAAACGAAAGAGTTCCAAAATTGTTCTATCCGTCATTCGGTTGCCCCCTTACGAGCAACCCTCAGAAGTCTTCGAGAGTCTTGGGCGAGCAAGGAATGACGGGGGCCTTACCTTTTAACGTGTGATCTCAAACACTTTTTTGGGCCATCAGAAAAATTACTGCTGTCGATGAGAATCGAACCCACGATCAGCAAGCGAATGCGGATTAGAATATTGACACTCTGTCCGCACGGCTACCTGGCCCTGGTTAAGGGTGGATTTCATTTTAAGAGAGAAAATGGTATACCCATAAGAAACGCCGGCTGTTTCAGAATTCGGAATGCTCTCGATTTAAATTGATTCGACAAACAGTTTGAATTGAATATCATGATGATGCAATAATCGTAGATTTGAAGATCAGAAAATGGAGAGTGGTATCGTAAAATTCGGAACCATTCCATTTTGTAGGTATATCTGATCCTAGTCAGTGTTAGGTTAATTCAATTTTATGTGGATTTTTCAGTTGTTTTCGTTTTTTTATCTCTATATATGTCTTGAACTACACGCACCGGCAAAATAATCGATCCACACAAAATATTGATAACATTTTATCAAAAATAACTTTGGCAATTCAAGCCTGATTCGTTTGATTTTTGTACCATTTCGTAGGTAAATTCATGAAGAATCTCACACGAGGTTGAGATTTCAGTAAATGTGGCATATCTCCAAATTATACAGAGTGACACAAAAAGTGCATTTTTACTCCTATTTTACAACGATCTGTGGGGTGGCTAAGCTGGTGAATCGAGTAATTTCTTATTTAATCATCTACCTGCGTTCATTACGTACGATTTCTCTTTTTATTTGTTACGATAACTGCTATCTTGTGGAAGTTACAAGAGTTCCAGAAAAACGTTACATTTCCACATTATGGTGATAATAAATTTTGGAAATAAGCAATGATGATAATAACGAATGAAACCAGAAAAGTGATTCTGAGATGCAAATGAAATCAGTACCTACGACGTGTTTCCTCCACGTGCACGAATAACTGCTGCAGAATCGTCTCAGCATGCCTGACAGATTACCATTTATAAAATCTATATCTTTCTCTAAAGTAAATATCTCTATTTCAATCGTAGAATCTTTTTAATCTCTTGACTTTTTACAATCATAAATTCAATCATAATTCTGACACTGTCATCATTCTTCTTTTTAACAATATACAAAGCGTATAGAAACGACAAATATAACAAAAAATAGATAATCTTCCTCAACATTCTACCCCCTGGTGAAGGCTTCTTCACAAATTCCTTTGTCCGATAACATCCAATTTGCAGAGTTTCACGACAGGTCGTCGATAGGTTCCGTACTGGGTTTTGGAAGCAGCATCGAATACAATCCTCAGTTTCTTCTTGTTTTCATTGAATACTCCGAAGTGTGGTAGGTACCAAAGTCTTCGGTTGTCTGTAGTGATTTCTTCTTCACGTAGTTTTCTCGCATATCCTTTCGTTACATAGTCAGCTATTTTCATACAGTATTCTTCTGCAAAGCGCGCATCTTTGTCCATTTTTCGTTCCATACAATATAATCTGCTAAGGGCGTTATTCCGATTATCTGGGAACTTGATATCGTCGGTTCTCCACAGTAGACCTGTCTCAAATCTGAAACCAATTCTTTTCGTGGTGTCTTCCATTATCCTTTCGCACCTTGTTTCTTCCTTTGTTTTTGTCAATTTCTCGAGAATTCTAACTCCAAAAGATTCTGTGCTGAATGATGTTTTGACTAAACTGTGCAGTTCTGCATATTTTTCTTCATTGCAGATGTGATATAGAAATTCTTCTCGATTTGGAGTATCTACTTGCATCCTACCATGAACCGTCCAACCTAGCGGAGTTTCCGAGATGATTGGACCGTTATACTGCAGTTCTACTATTCTTCTTGGGTTAAGCAAATGGCATTGATCTTGGCCAATAAGAAGTAGCGGTTGTTCATTGTAGTACGGTTCGATGTGGTCCAAGAAAGGTGTATTTGAATATCTTCTTTTCAGTTCCCTGATATCTAGTGTTTGTCTTGGCAGTTTCATGTTCTTGATGGTTCTAACTCCATTCAATCGAAAATACTTGGAAGGATGTCGTGGATCGGATATGTCAAAATCTACCTTTTTTGAGTTGTCTTCTTGATGCGTTATACCGTTTGTCCATTGGTAGCATAGGGATTCTGTTTCACCAACTAGTTCCAATTTTTCAGCAAGATCAGCATCTATCAAGGATACTGTCGATCCATCGTCATAAAAGACATATATGAACATTTTCTTTTCCTGGTATTTTATTTCAACTGGCAGGATCTTCAGTAATACATTATAATTATCATTTTTCGTCAAATTTACATGTTCTGTTCGAATTTCTTCAGGGTTTTCATATCCGTGAGGTGAATTCTTGCTCTTGTGGAGTAGAGGATGATGTAATCCGCTGCAATTATCGATTCCACAGCAAGTTTTCTTGAAACACTGATGCTTGAAGTGATTTGATCTGAGACAGCACATACATAACTTTTTATCTGTTACAATTTTCCATCTGTCATCTTCTGTCAGTTCTTTGAATTTTTCACAATCGTATAGCTGATGATTTTGTGTACATTTCGGGCAGTATTTCTTGACAATCTCCGTCTTTGGTCTGGATATCGATAAAACGGTGTCTCTGCGTGTATTCGCTGAGGGACCTCTTCCTGAATTCTCCGCCCTCACCAACGGACTATCAATATAGCAGGAAATCTTGGCTTTTTCTTTCAACCATTCAGAAAATGTTTTCAGATTGATGTCCTTTGGATTCTTTATGAGACGCTCTCCCCAGTCGAGCCGAAGGAAGTATGGCAGCTTTCTCGATAATTCATCTAACAACTGCATGTTATTCATGTGAGACTCTGTATCGAGTACCTCTATAGTGGATGTTAAGTTCAGAACTGCATTCGAAAAATGAATTAGTGAATCTGTTCTTCCTTTTCCAGGTGATGCCACTTTCTTCGCCTTCTCTATCAACATGGAGATTATTATGTCAGGTCTTCCAAAATTCATTTCTAAAGATTCCATAATGACGTCCAAATTTCTAGAACTGATCAGCAGTGGTTTGACTATTTCTCTTGCACGACCACGAAGGCATTTCTGGAGTCTTATTAGATTTTCCTCTTCTGAAAATTGACAGGATTTTGTTGATCTTCTGAATTGTGATATAAATAGAGGCCATTCCTCCGGATCTCCATTGAACAAAGGTAGTTCTCTGATCGACTGTCGAGTAAAAAAGGTTTCTAGCTGTCTATTGACACCCTTTTCTGCAAATTTTTCACGATCTTTATCCGAATTATCGGGTATCATATATTCAGTGTGGTCGAATTTCAACTTATTTTCGTCAGATTTGGTACTTTTCTGTTCTGAAGAGTCTCGTTCATGTTCAATTTGATTGGTTTCTGGGATTCTTAACCAATTCTTCACTTTCTGAATACCGTCTATAGTACCTTCCTTGATATTCTCAGGGATACTAGATATTTTACTACCTGCGGTACTAAGTTGCACATTCAGCTCCATATCTATCAATTCTTTCTCTCGGAGATATCTACGTTCTTGTATTTTCAATTTTTCTTCTTCCATTTTTTCTTCGAGCGCAGCTTTTTTCCTAGCAGATTCCAAGCGTAGTTGTAAAATTTGTCTTTTAGATAAACTGGTGCACAATGATGAACTTTCTTTCCTGGAGCCTCCTATATTTTCAATGTGTGCTTCTGGAAATCCAACTATTTCCTCTGGTATCGGTAATTCTCTTCCAATTTCACCAGAAGGACTTCCTCCTTCACCACATATAATAATATCTGATTTTGCTTCCTTGTTTTTACCAGTTTCACTATTCTTATCATAGTGTACTTCCACTTGAATAATTGATTTTCCAGACATTTTCTGTATTCCTTAGGGCTTTTCTGACTTTCTCGAAGGACCAATATAAAATCTATATCTTTCTCTAAAGTAAATATCTCTATTTCAATCGTAGAATCTTTTTAATCTCTTGACTTTTTACAATCATAAATTCCATCATAATTCTGACACTGTCATCATTCTTCTTTTTAACAATATACAAAGCGTATAGAAACGACAAATATAACAAAAAATAGATAATCTTCCTCAACACCATTCTTCTATTCAAATTTCACTGAGCTCCTGTGAATATGCAGGAGCTGGTAAACGGGATCGTACTTTTCTCCCAAGAGCATCCCAAACATGTTCAATTGTGCTCAAGTGTAGGCTTCGAGGAAATTCATTACTGCGGCGTGCATAGTCATCCATCAGCGTGAATCGTCTCCGAGGAACGGCGCAAATGGACAAAATATGGTTCTAAAACGTCTCTCATAAACCTTGGACATAGATCTCCTTTTCACTATGACTAAGATTGCCTGAGCTTCAAAACTCACGCCACCCCACATCATGATCCAACCGCCTCCGTAACTCACTCTTGGCTGTAAATGGTTTTGGAAAAAACGTTCTATAGTTCTTAGGTGAATTATTTCACGTCCATCCAGTGATCTGAGACAAAACCTTGACTCTTCAGTGAATAGGATAGTGCTCCATTGTTCATTACCACAATGTTTCTGTTCCCTAGCATATCTGAGACGTTCAACTCGATGATTTCCCAATAACTCTGGACCAGTTGCAGGTCTTCTTGCTCGAAGTCCAATATCTAAAAGTCTCCTACTTATTGACTCACTGACTTCAACATGCCTCACCTCATCTAATTCGTTCTTCATTTGGGCAGAAGTAAGGCTTCTGTCACTAAAAACTTCTCGATCATTAGCAGTTTTTTTTTCAACCACAATTATCTCTTCTTATAAATACACCAAATTCACGTAACCGTTTCACAGCTCTTTGCACCTTAGATCTTGAAACTCCCAAAGCTCCGGCCACATAATATTGTGATTTACCATCCTGCACACAAAGCAATAGCTCTCGCAGGAGTCGGTTGCAGAAAGATTCATATCTTATTCAACCATTCGATGATAAACTTGAGCTTCATATTTGTTGTTTTTCTACTTACAGGTTCAAAAACAGGAATTATATTGAATTTGAAGAATGTACCTATGATATGAGAAACAAAACGAAACATTGAAATCTGAATTTAATAAAATAATTGCACAGCCACTACACAGAATGTTTATGAATTGGACTGAAAATGCACTTTTTGCGTCACTCTGCATAATTTGGAGATTTGCTTAATTGCTTGAAATCCCAACCTCGTGTACGATTCCTCATACGAACTGAAAGAAAAATCAAACAAATCGGGCTTGAATTAACGAAGTTATTGCTGATAAAATTTCATCAATATATTTATCGATTAATGTTCTATTTTCTTGCTTCTCTATATTCTATATATTTTTATATTTGAATGTTCAGTTTTTTTTTCGTTCTTATTCGGGAAGGAAATATCAGATAGTATTATTAATTGGAGAATTGGTGGGGAATAAATCAGAAGGAGAAATGAGGGTAGCTGCCCTAATAATCAATGAGCTTAGGGCCCCAGAAATCGCAGATCCCTCACTGCGATGATACGATGAATAAAAAATGCGATATGAATTCAACATAGGTACTCACTATCGTTCATCACCCCGTAATAGAAGAACACATTTCCAACATCTCCGTATCCTGTGTAGACATTATTCCCGGGCCTCTTGATTCTGACATCTGGATCGCGCCTCAACAGCAATTCCCTCTCGTATTGGGCCTGCTGCGTGTACATGTCGTTATGCGCTAAGATGATCCTGCGCAGACGCATGTGCATCATGCGCTGCTTCTGACTCAAGTCCATCTCTCTGGTGCCATGAATAGGCAGAGCCACGAACCAGGTGTTACGAAAGTAGAAGCTGTACTGGAAGTCAAAGAAGGTTTTCACGTGGATATTGTATTTCAAAACGAAGCAAGTTGATGAACATGCCTATAAAGAAAATACATTTTCCTGCAACCGACACAAAAGTCGTCCATTTTAATCCCAGAAGTAGCACTTGAATTGTCGTTTTTATTACTGACACAAACATAGGTATGTTGCTAGGCAACACTTTCAGTTCCTAAGAGCTGAAGTTGAACTTTAGCTCCTAGGAACTAGAAATGATGAACTAGAGGTCATAAACACTTTTTTTTACAAGAGATAAATCAGAAGGTCGTTTCAATGTTATACCAAAATGCACTTTTGAGTTGTGAGAGAGCGATTGTCTTCCATATTTTCCTGAATATTTTGAAATCATCAATACATTAGAAAGTTGATCTTATACAGGTTGATTCAGGGAGAGACTCACATAGCCAGATGGTGGATAGAGGAAATCAAGACGCGTTGATGTAAATACCGTGTGTCCCAAGTTATCGTATACAGGCAATATCTTATTTGACAGGATAATCTAAAAATCCAAAAACTGCATTGAATGACATTGAAGTAACTTTCTGATGACATATAGAAACATCTATTGAATTTGACAGTTCTATGGCAGCTACACTGAGTGAAACTGGATATTAAAAATATCTACCAGTTCTGATTGTAATAACCATCATAAAGAAATCTCCTATTCCTGATCATTTTATTATTACAACAGTATTCTCTCCATTCTGTAACTGTAAAAATCGCTTTCTTAAACCATTTGTAATACCCTTGAATGGACATTCGCTACCATCATAACGCAGGTGTGTTATGACATGAGAATTTTATAAATTCTAGTCTATTCAGATTTTTTATTGACATAGCTCGTTTTGTGAATTATGCTTATTGGTGGATTCAGATAATGTTTGTCCCAATAATCATAACTGTTTGGGTATCTAGCATTGTTCGTTGACGAATAACTATTGCAATTCACATGTATGACGCTTATTAGACCATCATTCGACAATCGTAATTCGGATCATTTCGCTCTAGTTTTTCATTAGTTTTGGGGCTGACAAAGCTACAGATCGCGTTCATTCTCACTTCTGTTCTCGGTCATGGGTGCCCGTCTTCAATTTTTATTGTTCAATGGTTTCGATCGTCCGAATCGATAGAGCCGTGTCTTGTGGGTGAATGTGTGTGATGTAGCAAAATTTTGTTTCAGTGCTGGCTGTGAACCGAGCTGTGAAATACACCGTGCATTGCATTACTGCAATGAAAATAGTATTCTACATACCCACTTTCCACGGCCTAAAATTGGTTTATTTCGAAAAACAAAATGATCGATGAGATTCTGAATTAAAATATGTGGGTTTCTGTGAGGGAAGTTTCATTTACAATTCTCATCATAACTCCGAAGAAAGAGTAAATATACGTATTTAACTTCTCATTTCTCAATAAATTCGTCAGTATGCATATAGATGGTATTTCTCCGAAAAAATTAATGAGTAATGTCCAGAGAAACCCCGATATTTCAATTCAGAGACTAATCGTATTTTTTGTTTTTCGAAAAAAATAACTCTGGATCATGAAAAGTAGGTGTGGATAAAATGTTCATTTTCATTGCAGTAGTACGGCAAAGCACGGTTTCATAATGCATACCATCGAACAATGTTGATTAGATAACCTAATTACCACTGTTTGATGAATATACTAGAGTAGAAAAATATGGGGATAACTGTTGAAAATGAATGAATATTACAATAGCATGTCAAAATGTCAGGTTTCATTCAGATATCAGATAACTATAATAAAATGAGACGAATCACTGCGTTACCCCAATATGGTTGTGTCAGTAATGAATACAGACTGTTTTATGACGATAGTCGAATAACCACAAGTGGATCAGTTACTGCAACATTTATTCAGGAATAATTTCTATTCGACACTCTGTGTTATCATAGAAACTAGAACAATAAGTGGTGGTTATTCAGCAGCGGTGTTCATACAAGTTTGCGAATAGACTATACTGCCATAACTACAAGCCAACTAAAAATTCACTCCATTTATGGTAGCAAATGAACACATCGGTCCCCTATTTATTGCAGATATCGTAATAACGGTTATCAGATTTCCAATTATGGTAACTTAAGTTTTCTCTTAGTGTACCCCCCCACTTGTTTTCTTCAAATGGCTCCCCTTGTATATCGTCATTGGAAATTACGTGTCATTCAATTTGGAACAGAACGATGGCGTAAACTTTCATTGATAAAAACAAAAATATCAACATTTTGTACTTGTTTCAAGTAACTTGAGTATCCTTATGTTTCAATAAGCCGATGCTTTTCATGTATAAATAATTTTGAATACTTCCTGTGATTTTCAGTTCATTTCCTGTTTCGCATAAGATATATTCTAGTTGAAATTCATACTCCATTAAATGTTGCTTTTTTTGTTGATATAATAATAAAAAAAAATCCAATACCTACCTCCTGTCCCTATCCTCCCTAGGAACGCACGATGTTCTTTGAACATTATAGGGATTCCCTTTCGTGCGCTCCAATCGATAAAAAAAACAAAAAAAAAACAATATAAAGTATATGTTATCGTTATATCTCTTATAGGATGAGACGCAATTTTCAATGACAATATAAGGGGAGTGCCATTTGAAAATGAAAAGTGAAGGTAAAGCTGCCAGAGAACTGTCGAATGTAATAGATTTTTTTATATGTCATTAGGAATGTACTTCTTGTCACATAAGCGAGATATTGCTTGTATACGATAACTTGAACACCTGGGACATTTGTTTGGCAATGCATAACAAAGACGTATTATGTGGAATTGCCATATTATATTGTAGGCCCATATTTGAGAAATTATTCACCGTAATTGGCTGAAATTGGGTAACGACGTTTCTCTATTGGAACTATGGCATATTATGAAGGAAAATATAGATCCGAACTTGAGAAAATTTCATGTTTTATTGTTATGTCAAAACAGATAACTGTGTGATCACCTTCCTCGAAACATTTTATCAGGTTTACAAAGATCAGACGAAATGCCATAAAAATGCTCTTCATTTGCACGGCACACTTTGACCGATCCAATGGAAAATATGGAACAAAAACCTTCGAATGATTTTCCAATTTGAACCTGGCTGATATAACTCTCAACTGAATTCATGTAAAGTGATTTTTTGTATATATTTGTTGAATAAAAAAGAGTAGTTCTGAATTTTTGATAATCTGAAATGTTAGTTTCTTGTCAAAATTCTTGAAAGATTTTATTAGTTAATAATAATAACATTTATTGATCCAAAGAAACATACAATATGTTTATAGAGGGAATCAAAATAAAATCAAATATGCAATACAATGAAAGATAAACAGTTGTGGCTCTATTTCATGAATTTGTATCAAAGTATGCCCCGCGTCTGATGTTGATAACTAATCACTAGTAATCGAAATATTCTTGAACTCAAGATGCCACTTCATATTTCAGATGCTGCAATAATGCAATGATGATAACATTGAAGATATTCTTAAAACAAAATCACTACAATCCTATAAAATAAAAATAAAAAAACTGGATATTAAACTCCCCTAAAAATTATTTTATTTCTTTAATTAACATTTAATAATATCATTAGATAAATTTTAATAATAATTGTGAATAAGTATGTATGAATATAAATAATTATGCGTATTGAATGAAATGCTCCGTACACTATATATTATGAATTGAATACTTGTCTCATTTCTTAATGAGACAATTTTCAATTGTGATAACTTGATATTGTTAAATATTTATTGACATTATGTACATTTATTTATTTTTTATCCTTAATACAAGGTTAACTTCGTAAGGTTTTTCCCAGTTTATTCAAATTACCTTAATGTTTATTCCAATGTATATTTTGTAAACGTTTTTGAATAAACTTATATTATATTATTATTATTATTACTTAGCAGTAAAACCTCCACGTGGGTGACCATCAGAGGACTATTGAAGAAATAGCGAATACATCCTTATATAACTCGCAGAAGTGTACCAAGAACGAATGAAGCTCAGTTCACGCGTGATGACATAACTAGTTGATTAATCACCATCTATGGGGGCAGATGAAAATCCTTATGCCGAAATTTTATCAGTTTATACCTACCTATCGGATCGGACATCGAACATCAACTTTCAGGTTCGGATTATCAACAAACGTCACGTCAGGTCACACAATGAAAAACAGGGCCTAATATACATTTCATCATATGAGTTGCCATGGACTTCTTCCAAAGATTAGTTCATTATTACTCCAAATAAAATCCATGACACAAAGTCACGAAATCTGATACTAATCTATCTAGAATCTCGATGAAGAAGCAACATGATCTATTTTCTCAATTACCCTTCTGTCAAGTCTTATCCAACAAATAATTTTCATGTACCCAGTTGAAAGTTAGGAATTATCATCCAGGTCGAATTCGAGAAATCATTCCTTTATTGAACAGGTCAAAGTGTGCCGTGCAGATTGAAGAGGCATATGGCATTGTGTCTGATCTTTCTGAATCTGATGGAAGTTCCGAGGAAAATTATCACAAAGTGAACATTCGCGAATGAAAAAAAAATATTTTGAAAAGTTCCAATAGAGGGACGTAATTGCCAAATTTCAGCGAGGGATCATTTCCGGAATATCGGTCATCAGAGTAACATGGCATGTTGAAAAGATCTTCGTTATGAAGGTCGAAGATATTTTTCATATATATACATCAATAATATTGATTTTTACCTGTTGTTGGCCAGTCCAAGAAAAGAACATGAAAATTTCAGCTGCCGGAAATGTTTAAGACCATGAAAAACCACGTTAGATGACAAACTGAACTACTCGATTTGAATATAGAACCCCCATTGCCTATCTACAATTGAAAAGGAACATTTGATGCAGAACTCTCACCACTCATCTACTGTACGAGTACACGTACTTCGATCAATATCAGTTATTTAGAACGGTAACAATGGCGAAAATC